GTGCAGATCATTATTGAACAACCAGATTGATGCTCGGGACATACACAAGAAATACTGTCTACAAGAAAGTATTAGGTGAGACTTGATTAATACCAAAATTGTAAGAAATCAAACAGGAAAAAACATACACCACACATGTAGCTATAGAAAATTATATTGGACAAATTCTTCGATTTAGGGGAAGAGGGGAAGATATGAAAAACACCAAACAGCTACCACAGAAGACATTACTTTTGTGTATATAAAGTTATTCAAATACAGGATACACTGAATTTCAAATATTAAAAGGGAACATACAGTTCATGACACGACATAACTAAGAGGACAAACTGCAAACTGTTAGTTCGTGTACAATTAGATACTAACAAATTTCCTGATAACAATTTAAGAATACGACATTCGTCACTACATTCCCAACAAGCAAGAAGGCAAATAGATTGGCCATTCACTTAGTATGACGTAGTGCAATATTAAATACATATTGATATGTTGAAATCCTAAAATATACATAAAAGATAAAATATCTCGTGTATAGGGATCTCAAGACTTAACCTACACGTGCAACGCACATGCAGTGCATCTAGTAAGAACTAAAAATATCAACCTCTCACTAACTTATATTTATATATAGGTCAAGTGAAATACGATATTAAATAAGTTATGCACTTGACCCATTAACCACAAACTAAGTTAATAAATTATTTAATTAATACCCATCAATTAAGTAACTGTGGTTATCAAAAAGTTTAAAATTTTAAAACAAACTTTATTAACTGATCATAAATGACTGCAGATATCTATTCGAAGGGGCAAAATGGAAATTTTGTGAAAATTTCCAAAAATGACCTTGCAAGTCATTACATTATCCACCACTAAAAATCATGTCTGTCCTTTAACATAAAGAAGAAGAAAGAAGGAAAACCGACATTACCAAAAGCTTGGGGTATAATTTCCAAAATAACTTTCTATCTCTCAAAGTGTGCTCATCCTTAAGAACATTCTATAAAGAGAAACTACTAAGAATTGAACTTTTGAGTCAAAATTTGACAGATCTACAAATCAGGACTAATTACCAAGTTATAGACTAACATTTGAACCCAATTTGAACCACAAACCTCTTGACCATAACATAATCACAAGGACAAATCTTTTCTCACATAATCATGATATAATTGTGAATCAGTACCGGGTACAACCAGAAGTGAACCTAAACCAACCACCACACACTCATAATGCATAACCATGATAGATGTTTTCAAGATTCCTTTTCACAAAATAATATTTCCACGAGTTTAAGTTATAAAAATCTAGATCCTCATCAAGGGAGAATCAAACTTATTTAACCCAAAGATCAAATTGATCAAGTAACCACCAAAGCGAGCGATACACCGAATCATATATAATGTCTAACAAAACAATCGGAGTGCTAGATCAATAGTTGTGATTATAGACAAATCTTATGAACGAAAAAACTAAACCCGATGATTCCCACATTCAACCATACATTACCAGAATGTGACCTCGATGAATATATGAATATTAAGATTGGCGGACACCCGTAACTATAAAGTATAAAGCTGCCAGTAGAATGAAAGGAACGATGTATTTTATTGATTGCAACTAAGTATATATAGATTATGAACAACTTCTACAGCAAAGAGATAAACTAAGAAAAAGGTAAGACTTATCTATAACCTATATACAAGGAGGAAGTTACAACAGAGTCCTAAAGAGAAGACACTACTGAATTTGATCCGTTATTACGCCTCCACAAGTTGGTGGTGTCAACAACACCCAACTTGGAAAATTGCTGAACAAAAGAAGCTTTGGGAAGGGGTTTTGTGAGTATGTCAGCCACTTGATCAGCTGAGTGAAGGTGGTGAACTTTAATATCCTTGTTCTGAACTTAGTTCACGAACAAAGTGAAAATCAATGGCGACATGCGTCATCCTACTATGAAAGACCGGATTGGAACAAATGTAAGTGGTGCTGATGTTTTCACAGAAAACATGTGGAACTCCCTTAAGTGAAAGCCGAAGGTCATGAAGAAGATTTGTGATCCAGTTGGTTTCTGCAACAGCAACAACCACAGCTCTATACTAAGCTTCTGTAGAGGACCGAGATACGGAGCATTGTTTCTTGGAGGCCCAGGAAATTAGTGTGTTGCCTAGGAAAGTGATATAGCCTGAGGTAGAACTGTGATCATTTGGATCACCAGCCCAATCTGAATCTGAATAAACAACCAAACGAGAATATGGAGTTTTGGCAATCTGTATGCCATATTGGCAGGTATGACGAAGATAACGGAGTAATCGCTTGACTGCTTTCCAGTGAGAGTGGCGTGGATTGTGCATAAATTGAGAGAGTTTGCTAACTGTGAAGGCAATATCAGGACGTGTAAAGGATAAGTAGTGCAACTTTCCAATTACCCACCTATAAAGAGTACCATCAGCTGGAGGATCATTCACTGAAGCAGTCAAAATGGTAGTTGAGGTCATAGGTGTAGGAGCTCCTTTACTGTCTAGCATGCCAACATCCTCTAAAATATCCATAATATACATGTGTTGGGACAAAAAAAGACCACCAGTAGAAGAGATAACCTCAACACCTAAAAAATAATGGAGCTGTCCAAGGTCTTTCAAGGAGAAACGAGTGGAAAGACCATTGATTATATGACGAACCCCACGAATCTAATTTCCAGTGATGATTATATTATCCACATAGATAAGAACATAAACAGTGAATCCAAAATTATGCAAAATAAATAAAGAAGAATCAGAGTAGGACTTGACAAACCCAACAGTTAGCTAATAACTTTTGAGCTCATTGTACCAAGCTCGAGAGGCTTGTTTCAAGCCATAGATTGCTTTATTCAACTTACAGACATGTGTGGGGAGACTTTGATCTTCAAATCTCAGTGGCTGCCTCATATAAACTTCTTCCTCAAGGCTTTCTTGTAAGAATGCATTATTAACATCAATCTGATGGATTGGCCAGTTGTATTGCGTCGCAATGGTAAGCACCAACCGAATAGTAACTGGTTTGATTACCAGGCTGAATGTGGAATGGAAGTCTAAGTCTGGACGCTAGGTAAATCCCTTTGCAACAAGACGAGCTTTATACATGTCAATGGAACCATCAGATTTATGTTTTATACTAAACAACCACTTGCACTCAACCACATTCATCGAAAGAGTAACTGGAACCAAATCCCATGTCCGATTCCTAACAAGTGCATCAAATTCAGCATGCATCGCTTCTCTCTAGTGAGGGTGAGGACATGCTTGTTTGTATGTATGAGGAACAAAAGACGAGGAGAGTTGAACACTGACACTAAACTGCTTGGGTTTGAGGCTATTTTTTTTGGAGCGTGTGACCATGGGATGACTTGAAGTTGTCACCACGGGTGAAGGATCAGATGGAGCCAAAGCAAGTGTAGGTTGGGAAGAGTTATTGGCAGATGACTGAGAAGGTAGGTTGGTGGGAGGTATAGGGGAATGGAGTGGTAACACTGAGATACTTAGTTGTTGGTGATTTTTGAGTTAGTAGGTGATTAATGGTCTGGGTGACGGCGGGGGGCTGAGTATAATCCGATGGTGGTGTGATGGTGTGTGGCAATGAAGGAGAGGATAAAGTCTGAGAATTAACTGATGCAATGGAGACACCTTCTGATCTGGCAGGCATTGAGTTGGGCAGTGGAGAGTACACGGGCAGAGCATCTGGAAGGGTATGACAAGAATCGAAACTTGATGGTTTATTAGTCATAGGTTGAACATCAGAACAAATCTCCCAAGAATCAGTGCTCTGTTGGTTTTTTAGATTCGAAAAAATATTATGAAAAGGATAGGTGTCTTCCAAAAATTGAACATCCCTAGGTAAGTACAATTTATTTTTTACGAGATCGAAACATTGGTGGCAGTAATGTTTATTAGAAAATCCTAAATATACACAAGGAGTCGATTTTGGCTCTAACTTATTTTTGGCATATGGTTTAAGCCATGGGTAACATAAACAACCAAAAACTCTAAGTGATTCATACTTTTGGAGCCTCGTGAATAAAATTTCATAAGGGCATTTATTTTGTAAATTTGGAGTGGTTAGACGGTTTCTAAGGTAGACTACTTGGTGACAGGCAAAACTCCAAAAAGATGAGGGCAAGGATGCTTGATGCAGTAAGGTTTTGGCAGTCTCAACTACATGCATGTGTCTACGTTCAACCGATGCCACTCTTTGAGACGTGTATGGTGGTGTCACTAAGTGTTCAATACCTTGAATTTTGAGATATGAGGATAAACCTTGGAACTCACCACCACCATCAGTATAGAGAGACATAATTTTGGTTTGAAACCGACGCTCAAGTAAGGGATGTAAAGCTTGAAAGACATCAAGGACTTCTTTTTTTGATTTCATAGTGAACAACCACATGTATTTCGAGTACTGGTCAACAAATAAGGCATAATATCTCTTGTTATCAATTGACAAAACAGGAGATGTCCCCCATAAATCAGTATAAATTATTTGCAATGGTCGTTGACTTTGTAATGAATTTTCAGAAAAAGGTAGCATGTGTGTTTTATTAGAATAACACGAATTACAAATGGAAGCGGTTCTAGAATGTGAAACTGGAAGAGAAAACTGATATAAAATCGTGTTTAAAGTGCGATGATTAGGATGGCCTAAACGCCGATGCCACAGGTGTAGAGGAACGACAACATTGCATTGAGGGGTATGATGTGCATTGCCCGACGGCCACTCATATAGCCCATCTCGATTCTGCCCATGAAATAGAAGCGCCCCCGTACTCAGAACCTTCACACAATAAGAAAAAGGAAAGAATTCAATGGACGTATGGTTATCGTAGCAAAATTTGGAAACATAAAGAAGATTATTTTTTATGGAATGAGAACATAAAGTATTGAGAAGCTTAAATTGCTTATTCGATGCACTTAAGTTAGTGTTACCGGTATGAGAAATTGGAATGGTGTTACCGTCCCCCATTGCTATCTCCTCTGGATCATGGTAGGTGTGCCCATCAGTGAAGTTGCATTAGAACGCCTATTAGAGGTGTTTCCTTGGCAAGGATGCATGTTTCTTTGTTGTGCAATAGCAGCAGTAATGGGTGTTGAGAGTGGCTTATTTGCTTCTTCATGCTTGATGAAAAGCTCATGGTCAAGTAACTTCTCATAAAGTTCAGGATAAGAGATAGCAGAATCTCTTGCACGGATAGCAGCTGATATTTCACGAAATTCAGGTCCAAGTCCAGTGAGGATTTTGACAATCAGTTCCTCATTGGACACAGGAGCTCCAGAAGTGGCAAGTTCATCACAGAGAGATCGAACCTGGTGCAAATAATCAGCGACATGAAGGGTTTCTTTTGCGAGGTGAGCCAGACGATCGTGCAAACTAAATATCCTTGTTTGCGATTTGTTGGCATACGCAGTGTGCAAAGCATCCCAAGCAGCCTGGGAAGTGGATGCAGCGACAACCGTAGTAGCAAGATTTGGATCAACTGAGGCCAAGATGGCATTTTGAATTAGTTGATCTTGGCGATACCATGAAACAAATGCAGTATTTTCGATGTCCTGATTATTTTGAGCCACTGTACGAGCAGGGGCTGGGCGAGATGGCCAAAAAGGTTGTGACCACGCATAAGCATGGACACTTGTGCTTTCCAAAGGGAAAAATTGTGGCTTCCAGTTAATTTGATTGGTAACTGGTGACAAGATTAAACTAAACAATGGTTGTATTGGCATCGGAGTTGGTTACAGTGATGTTTGGGGCCATTTTTATGGGAGGGGTGGTAGGGTTTCTCGACAGAAATTTACTCGTGGGAGTCAATTGGCTCTTGATACCATATAAAGTATAAAGCTGCCAGTAGAATGAAAAGAACGATGTATTTTATTGATTGTAACTAAGTATATATAGATTCTGTACAACTTCTACAACAAAAGAGATAAACTAAGAAAAAGTAAGACTTATCTATAACCTATATACAAGGAGGAAGTTACAACATAGTCCTAAAGAGAAGACACTACTAAATCTAATCCATTATTAGTAACTACCTATTGAAGCTCCTCTATAAATTCTCATAAGGAACGTGGTTGATGAGTCCAAAATTTGGACTCATTTAGGGCATTATTTTGATAGATTTAGTGTCCTCAAATGCATATATTGTATCAATAACTGATGTAAATCCTTAAGTTTCAAGTATTCGTAATTTGAGGCAAAGCATGGACACTACTTGGAAAAAAGGAACAAGACGGCTGAAAAGAAGGCCTGAGGATCGCCTAATGGCGAGTCGTCGAATGGCCTTAACCTCACCCAAAGTTCTAGTGTGCTGAGCCCTGAAGGAAAAGAACAAGTTGGCGATGAAAGGGAGCAGTGGGCACGTCACCGAACAGATCCGCGAAGCAACACCATATCGCCCAATGATTCAAAATGTGAAGATGCTGAAGGCGATGAACCAGACCAAAGGACGGATCGCCGAGTGCATCGGTGATCCCAAATAACTACGTCGAGTGGTCCTTCGCAGCACAAATTTTCAAACACTATAAATACCTGTTTGAATTGTTAGTTTAGAATCAATCTAGAATTCAAGTTTTACAATACATAAACCATTTTTGTAGAATATTTTCATTTTGAGTTCTTAGAGTTCTTGGGAGACATTGTTCTTGAGCTTGAAGATTTAAAGACTTCCAACTCCAAGAAATTGGAAGTGGGTGTTGCAGATTCTTTATTCTAGAATCGTTTGAAGTGAATATAAATCATACCAAGTTGATGCTTTTTTTTATTTGGTATCATTTTCTTCTCTTTTTCTATGTCTAGCTAAACCCCTAATTCTTGGGGTGTGATTATGTGATTATGGGTTAAATTTACTGTTGGGTATTACTCATTAATAGTCTATTTGTTGTTTAAATGTGATTTCGTTTGTTAGTTGTATTTGAACTTAATGGAAATGTAGTTGCAAATACGATTTCATCTTCTAGTTTTTAGCTTGCCCGAGAGAGAGGTTTTAAAACCAAAACTACTAAATCAATAGCCTGTTATTATTGGGTCGTCGTGGGTTCAGCTAGGGAGAGTGAATCCTAGGCCTTCTCCCACACATTTAGCTCGAGAGAGTGAATGGGCTAAGGCAAAAGATGTTCTTAAATACTGCAACTCGGTGTTCTAGAGAGACCGAGTCTATTCGGGGTAAGTTGCTTGAGAGAGAATTTACTCCCACTAAAGTTTAGCCTAGTTACAAATGTTGAGCGATTTACTATCAATAGCATTTACTCGATTGTTTATTTTATCCCGTATTCCTATCACATCCCAAGAATCCCGTCTCCCTATTTCACATCTTTATTTTTTTCTATTTTTGTCTCTTAGTCGAATAAAAAAACCCCATTGATAATTAACATTCATGTCACGTTTAGATTTTTATGTTTTTATTCATAAATATTTATACCTATGATTGATTAGAACAAAATTTTACTTTTCTATTTGATTCTCCACTACTAACCGCTCCCTTGGGACTCGACCCCAACCCATTCGGTTAGGTTATATTACGACACGCGATCGTTGACACTTGATTTGAAAGTTGTGTCTTTCATTACGTCAAACATCAAAATGGCCGCTGCAAGGGAGTTGTGTTAGTTGAAATTTATAGTTAAGTAGTATTTTCATTCTTGTTGATCACAGTTTACTTAATTTTTAGTTGTGTTTTACTTGTTTGTGTATTGCAACAAGAAAGATGAGTGTGAATGGTAATTCTGGGTATCAAACGGACCATTTCAAATTATTGAATCCTAGGGACAACCTCTTAACGTTCAAACAAGCGGGTGGTGAAACTATCCATGAGGTGTGGCCTAGGATTAAGGCATTACTACAGCAGTGCCCAGCTCATTGGATGCCTGATAAATTGCTGCTAGAATGCTTCTATCGAGGGCTTGGTCCCAAAAATAGAACTATTGTTGATCAACTCTCTACAGGTTGTTTGACACAACAACCCTATGAAGTGGTAGCCCAACTCCTTGATGGCATGGTTAAATCCAACAAGGAAGAAGAAAAGGACCAAGAACGGGCTGCATTTTTTAATCAGCTAGATGATCTATCCGAAAAGGTAATGAAGTTGGAAGAAAGGTTTAATAAGAAGAGCAAGTACCTCCCTCCTCACAAGTGTAAAAAGATGAAGCAGCACGAGGGTGGACAAAATGGAGAGGTCCTCTCACTCATTCTACATAAAATTGAGGAACAAGATAGAGTGTTGAATGAGACAAAAGAGAATGTCGAAATGCTGAATCAGATGACGACCTCCCATTCCATTATCATCCAGCTACAAGACGCCTAAATAGGCCAAGTGTTGTCATGTCTCTACTCACAGCATAAAGAGGGGTTACGTAGTGATACTATGGCTAACCCCGAGAATGAGGTATGAATGGTGACTTGCATCGTGCCATGACGTTAACTAAGGCGTTGTTTGGGAGGAAACCCAAAACCTTTTATTGCTGTATTTTTGTTTTAGAAATAATGGTGTGTTGATTTTGTAGGTTAAAGTGTGGTGAGTGTTAGAAAATTGCAAGTTGGCGAGCTACAAGGTCCAGTCAGTGAATCACCGAATAGGTCGGCACTACAGATCTAAACCGTCGTTTGACTCAAGACATCCTCAAAATGGAGTCTGAAACACTCGGCGAGCCCAGGTAAGTATTTGCGAGTCGCCGAACCTGACGTAGACTGCCGTTTGGACCCCTTCATTAATTGGAGAGCCTGTAAAACTCGGCGAGGTAAGTGAACACTCGGTGGATCACCGAGTGGGTCGGCAAGCACGACTAACGTCGCCGAATGGGCGAAGAACTGGATGGTTTATTAGAGACCAACGGTTTCAAAGTTTCAAAATCTTCATTTTCCTTTGCTTTCAAACATCACAAACTCACACCTAGTTAGTATTTTCAATATTTTTGCACTGCATAAGTATTTTGGTTGTTTATTGGTTCTCGTACTTTGGATTACATTATTGCCTAGCATTACAAAGTAATTTAACCGGCATAAAAGGTTGGTTTTCCAAACCCTGAGTTTATATCATTGAATTTGTACTTATTTGCAATGATCTTATATTAGTGATGTGTGTTGGGCCTCTATGATAAGATTAGAATGTTTAAATGCCGATTTTCATTTGATAATCTTGCCCGTATTGTTTTGATCGTCGAATGCCCATAAATTTGTGCCTTAAAATGAGTTAAATTGTGTGGGGGTGTGCTTGCATGTTGGTTAGATTTGTTGAGTGAAGTCTAAGCAGCCCGTGTTTGGGTTAAATGGCGTAAATTGCACAATGATGGAGTGGGTGACACCATTCTTAAGGGCAAAAAAATCTTCAAATGGGCAAATTTGGCAAAATCGGGAAAAATTTTAATATCCCGGGGTAATGGGTGTTATGGTTCTGAACTTAATTTAACTAATGTCATGCTTTGACTTTGTTTTCGGAGTTTCCGGGGTTGAATTCGAGAAGTTGGGTTGAAAATAGGCATGTTGGGCCATTTGGCGAGTTGGGTCGAGCTCGCTGAACCACTCGGCGGTTCGCCTAATTTCCCCATCTCTGCTTTAATTTCGTGCTTTATTTGATGATTGATTCTGTAACTTTCGGCGAGAAGCCTGATGTCACTAAAAGCACTCGGCGACTCACTGAAAGGCTTTTTTTTCGACCTTTGTCTATACCCTTGAACCCCTGTGCACTGGAACTTTCGGCAGGCTAGCCTTTGATCGCTGAAACGGACCTCCCATTGCCAAATTGATGAGAATTTTGAGTGAATCCCCTCGGGGAGCCCGATTAACTCACCAAAAAGATTTGGCAACTCACCGACTTGATCTGCGAGTCTGTCTGCAGTAAATTTTTTGTGCTTTGATATGAATATTTACTAACTTTTCTCTGATGCTTTGCAGACATGGTGTGAACAAATCTAGATAGGCCACCCAAGAAAAAAGCACGGGGCATTACTATAAACGAAGGGGAATCAAATCCTCCAAAGAAGAGAAGGCAAGAACTCCCACCGGGAGACAAAGGCAAAAGAAAGAAGCACACATCTGAGAGAGTGGTTGTTGACACTCGGGATGATTTGTCTGAACCTCAAGACGAGTTGCCTTTAATTTGCCGAAGAGATGAGCACCGGGCTAGATCTCAACCCATGTCCAACAGAGTTCCTCACGCATCCACACTAGCAGAATCAATTTCAACTCCAGCACCACCTGTCACTCCCTTACCACCAGTCATTCCTTTACCTCCTCAACAGGTTGAAAGGAGATGGTTTACGAACGATCCTCGAGAAGAAGTTATTCTCTACTGAGGATCTGGACGGTAAATACTCGGATGTGCTGGAGACCCTCTAATTCCACAGGTTCGAGTAGTTCACTAGGCCCCAAGGCACATATATTGCCTTTTGGGGCCATGATCTTTACACATCTTATGGTGATCTGGTTCCCCAGAGTAAGAAGAAGGCCAGTTAGTTCAGACCGGTTAAGGCGGTCATGGTCTGAGGCAAGGAGGTCATGTGCAGCAGTGAGTACGGTAACGTTGTACTAGGTAGAGATCTGCACTCTACACACATGTATGTTGCCTGTAGTTTAATCATTGGGTGATCTGAAGGGGTGGCTGGCACGTTTGATTTCTAATACCACCCTGAGGTGGATAGCGGCAGGAGTTCCCATAGAGAAGAGGGACTTGAGCATTGTTGCTCATTTCTGGTTTGACTTCATCAGTAGCACTATAATGTCATCCCAGAAC